AAAGCAGAGTCAGCTGGCTGTTGTTCCGCGTATAGTGAGTCGCTTTCAAATACGGTTTCGAAGTGCATTGCTAAGGCTTCCGCGGCTTCTACGTTAGAGGAAATTTCAGTATTTCCCGTTTTAGTTTTGATGATGCCAACAGTAACTGACCTAGTCTGGGCTATGTGGCGATAGAGCAGCTTAGGAATTTGCTTTGCTTTATCGCAAAGCTGAAGCTGGTAGAGCCTGTATTTCATGCTGAATGTTTGAAAATCCTTCCAAACCCATGATGATTTATGGTGAAATAACTCCATCTGTGTGTTGCTCCTATATTGACATTCTCAATCACAAACATCATACATCATTATTTATCTGTTAAATCGATGCCCGGCAAATTTGAAGTTTGCGTGGTTTGAAAACGTGAGCAACTGTTTGTCTCTCTCTTCATATTTGGCTCGCTTGCTTAAAAGCTCTTGGCCGCATATTTGAGGTTTGCTTTATTGTACATTTGTAATGTTTCGTTAATTCAGTACCGTAGAACATTACGAATCAATCGTGTTTTATTTCGGGATTCGCGTCGGTTCGGCTACGCGTCACTCAAGTGCGGATTGGTTGACGTGGAGTACTCAAATTGGAATCAAACGAGAAAACTATTTCGAAGATGCCCAGACGAGGAACCAAGGAAACTTGAACCTAACAGAAAGTAACCCCGCAAGTCACGGGGAAGGGGCTGTGGGTCATTTTGATTCTTTAGAAAATGTTAGATCTGTTAGTCCTGTCATAGCTGTTTCATGTGTAGCTTCAGATATTAAGGATATTGATATATTTCGATCGCGAGTTTCTTAATTAGAGCATGAATTGAGATTAGCTAGGCAGCAGATAGAACAGGCCAAACGAGAAAAAACGATTTCAACGGCACAACATCATCTCAAGCTGAGACTGCAGTGGCTTCTCTCCGAATAAAGGATCCGTCCCTCAGCAAAGAACGTATGCTCGTGTAAACGTCAGTTTGTCAAGAGTAGAACTGACACCTTTCGACGGCAATCGCAAACAATATTGCCAATTTATTGGCCAATACGAAAATTTCGTTGAATGCAAAACCGAGGATGCAGGGCAAAAGTTTCTGTGTTTGCTACACTACTGTCGGGAGAAGGCTGAGGAGGCCATACAAGGGTGTGCAATGCTGGACCCGGAAGTGAGCTACCCGAGAGCCAGAAGTATATATAAGGAACTGATCGGCCAACCATTCCGAGTGGCACGAAACACGATTGACGGGGTGCTAGCAGAGGATTAATAACCCAATTCTTGGTCGGTTTGCCTCCTATCTACCCTATCGCCAGCAGGTGGTGAGTATCGATGGTCATAACTCCCAACCTTCTTTGGTTACTAGCGGGGTTATTCAAGGAAGTGTGCTTGGTCCTCTTTTATTTCCCATGTATGTTAATGATGTTTTTCCGTAATACGTCGCGGAACTCCATTCCTGTTTGCTGATGACATAAAAGTTGTCTCCGACTTTAGGTAGACTGAAACAAATGATGTCATCCACCATATCCAAGAGGACCTACACAGACTCGAACAGTGGTGTTCTTCTTGGAAGATGGAGTTTTCTCCTAATAAATGCACCTTTAGTACTATGCGGTGTGAGGTCCCTCCGAATTCGTTCCTTCTTCATGGCTCACCTTTTATTCACAACCCATCCATACGTGACCTTGGCCGGCACTACTCATCGTCCCTCAACTTCTATGAGCATATTTCCTTCCAAGTAGCCAAGGCACGGGAAAATATCGGCTTTCTCACAGTCTCTTATACTACCCGAGGCTAAACTTCTATCTTACCTATCCTTCGTAAGACCGTCCCTCGAATACTGCCCCATCATCATGTCCGCAAAACTGACAGGTCAACTTGGAAAAAGTCCAAAGCAAATTCATCAAACAATTACTAGGCTTTTCGACCAAACTGAATTACCAGGAATGTTGCGCCCTACTTAAAATCGAGCCCATGTGGCTTCGACGCATGAGAATTAATCTCTGCTTCTTTCACCGGCTCATGCATTGCACACCGGTTCCCTCTGATTTCCCACGCCTATCCACATGTGCGACCTACTCCCTACGTCAAAATAACTCGCGCCTCATTATCCCAAAATACAGGACAGACTTCAGATCTAAATACATACATCTAAATACATACTTTCACAGATATTGTGACCTAATATCACTAAGCAACATGTTTCTCGAACTGTTTTAACTCGATCCTATCCGTCCTCGTCTGTGGCACATGATAACCAGGTAGCTGTGTACCCTTTCTTAACCCAATACTACCAGTACACGGAACCAGCCTCAAAGTAGGGTCCGTGGAACACTATTCAGTCAGGTACATACTTTCACATGTTTTGTGATTTAATGTTCTGTAGTCGACTCCGGTACTCTATCAGTTTAGTATAACTTTCTTGGTGTCTACTCATTTTCTGTTTTTTCCCCGCTGTATTCTCCGTTTCACGCTCTCCTTCCCCTTTTTCAACTGGGTACTACCCCAGACTGCTGCATATCGCCTCTTTGTTCCAGATTCGTTTGATTTGGTCCTGACGAAGACTTGGGGTCCTCACCCGCAATGGAGAATTTGGCTCTGGCAACGGTTGTTGGGCACAGCAGTTTCTACCGTTTTGACTACAGGCGTCCGCGTTCCGGACCAGGTTGAGGATTACACTCCCTGCCTCACCTACAATGTGTTTTAAGGTTAGGTGTCTAGCGTGTAGTCAGTCCCACATCAAAGCGACCAATGCCTAATTAATCTTGATAAACCAAAACACTCGTTGATTGATTGAAGCCCCGAACCCAATGAACTTGTCTCCAAAAGCGAGTTGTATTGCAGCATCGAGTGGAACATGTTCTTTTACCGACGTATTATTCTGCTGTGTCCCTCATGCCTCTACCATCGGTCAGCATTTGTATTACAGACCTCCTCTTCGTATTTCCCACACTTTTGCCGTACGGCCAATCATTTCGAGACCAGCTTTACTATTACTTGCGGTTTTATTGACATGTATGTTTCGCTGCATCCTCCATCCTTCATAAATTCGTCTATGATCTTGTCCGGTTTGTGTTCCTTTCACACTGTGTTTTCGTTCTGATCCCCACCATTTTTAAAAAACATTTTATTATTGTCTACCTATGTACTTACGCTGTTATTGTACGTATACTCGCTCTGAACATTTGATCATGCATTGGGCATGTCCCAAGGGCTTCGTGAAATATACACCTGTTATTATTATCATTATAAATTCTTTATCATAAAATATGCTAAATTATGGAACAGATTACCTTTCCATTTAATCAACTGTAATTCACACTTCCGATTCAATGTATTACTTGGCCGCTACCTCACTGCCGAAAACGCCACGCACCTAACTGCCAATAATCTTCACATCTTAGCTGCTTCTGAAAATGTATCCGATTATTAAATATAAAATACAGTAGATTCATTTACGTACGCAGCGGTATCACGAACCCACGAGAAGCTTAATCAATCATTATCTACAGTAAGCTTCTTCAGTTTAAAAACTGGGGAAGTGAAACTGAAAACCTAACAGCACAGGCAGTTAGATACGACGCTGAATCTGTGGAACACAATCTACTTTGGTACATACTTTTATAAGTATTGTGACCAACCTTTCATATTTTTATATTTATCTGATTGCGTTTTCATCCAACTCGATTGGCTCAACTCCATGGCACATGCTCACAAGGCAGCAGTGTTCACTTTCTCAACCAATTTCATATCAGTACACGGATCCAGCTTCGAAGCTGGATCTGTGTAACTGTGGTGATCCAGACTTTCGTGACCGCAATCCATGCACGACTAGGTACAGTTTCATGTCATCACCGTTCAGGAAGCTCGACCAATGGTACAATGGGCGAACGTGACATCCGAGTTAGTACAAATGATGCCTCCGCGCAAACGGTTACGTAATTGAACGACGGCCCTTGAACCAATCATATGAGATATATCTTTCTATAAATTCCTTCTATAATTCTATCACTAAACATAAGCATTTGCTGCTACTAATTCCTTCTGTAATTCATTGGTGTCCGCAGTTTGGGTTGGAGCCAATTCAGTTCTGAGCAGTAGAGTACGGATTTTCGCATACCTTAATTCAGTACTCTTCTGAATACTACAATTAGGCGTCGCACAATGGAGATTCCTGTGATTGAACCAAGGAATCTGCACGGAAGCCCATTAGAAGTCAAAGAGTCGGTAGAACGTTTTGAATTGTGGTGCAGCATCCGGAAAGGAGGAATGCAAAATCAGTCGGTCCTATTTTTGACTTTGGGCGACCGAGAGCTGTATTCCCTGGTAAAGAATCTATCGTCCCCGAATGTTCCTGCTGAATTGCCGTCCGAGAAGTTGAAATCCTTATTACTGGACCAAATTCTCTCAGTAGATTTTCAGGCCACTGAACGGGCCAAATTTAACTCAATGATCAGAGGTGCCAACACGCCGTGCCGTGAGTTCATTCTCCAGTTGAACAAACAGGCGTCAAAATGCAACTATGGTGACCGATTGGAAGAACAACTTTGTGACCGTCTCATTTCTGGAATCAACAACATCTCACTACAACGTAAGATGTTGGAAAAGAAAGATATCACCTTTGCTGAGGCTCGAAAAATCTGTGAGCAAAGTGACGATTTGTGTGCTGCCACAAATGCGGATACTTCTGTGTTATTCCATCGGCTATCAACGAAACCCTTATATGACACACCATTTGTTCATAATTCACCCCAGGTTCATTAAGTACCCAATTCAAGCCGAACACAACCGAAGGCTGCAACCAACCGTTGCTTTTCATGTGGTGAATACCATCTTCTTTCGACTTGTCGGTTCCGTAATGCCACTTGCCATGCATGCGGTAAGATGGGCCATATCCGCAAAGTATGCCGAATGCCCAGGTGCAACCTCATCGACTCCCATGTTCCAACGGCAGATGAGAACTCAAGCTGCAGACCACTGGACCCAACGGTTAGTTCATGTTCGCCCCACTGAGGTTCGAGTCTGGTGTGGAGCATCGATTCATCATGGGCACAGGAAGCAGCGAACCAATCCTACCGAAATCAGCACTCAATGCGATCTGTCCTAATGCTGTTCTAGCCCCGACTTCTGTGCGCATTCATGGGGTTACTGGCCATCAGTTGCAATTACTTGGTGAAACGATGTTGCGTGTTCAATCTGAATCCGGTGTATTAATCCCAATCCGATTCCTGGTATTAGCCCACAGTCCGTCTATTCTGGGCCTTCGAGCAATGCGGTTACTACAAGGATCCATCCCACTACACNCCAACAACGATATGCCAATCACCTCACATCTTCAACATTTGATTGTACAGTGTTCCGGTAACGTTGGTGGCATGGAAGTACCGTCGGTAAAGATGGAAGTGGACCGTGAACCTATTTTCCCAAAACGACGCGTCCTCCCATACAGCCAACGGGAAGGTGTACTGAAAGCATTACAGAAAATGAAGTAGGATGGTGTGATAAGCATAGTTGAATCCAGTGCCTGGGCGACCCCGATCGTCACGGAGATGAAAAGTGATGGTAGGACACCATGGATCTGTGGAGACTATCGACTGACTTTGAATCCCAAACTTCGGAGATGTGCAGGGACCACCATGGAACCAGAGGATTTCATGAAGTCATTGCATGGGTGTCAGTATTTTCGTAAGATCCATTTGGCGGACGCATACCTACAGATTCCATTCGATGTCGAATCCCGCTACTTGACAACAATCAACAAGCCGTGGGGAATGTACTAGTACAAGTTTCTCCCATTCGGATTGCATATGTCGTCTGACCTCTTTCAATCGGCAATAGACAGTGTAATCGAAGAACTCGACGGTGTGCTTGCATATCAAGATGACGTCCTCATTTTCGGCCTTAATAAGAAAGAACACGATGCTCGTTTTACGCAGCTACTGGAACGATTTGCCGCCAAAAACGTGGCTATCAAGCCTTTCAAGTGTGTGTTTGGAGTAAGTGAGTTGGAGTTTCTAGGATTCGCAGTTGATTCCCGTGGATATCGTCCCGATCCGACACGTTTCAAACCATTGACTAACATCGAATCTCCAAAAGATCAAACGCATTTGAGATCGGTGATGGGATGTCTACAGTACTATTCCCGATTTATCCCGAACTTTGCTACAAGGGCGCAGCCGCTTTTCTGTGCTCAGTGTTCAGACGCTTGGGAATGGTCGGTGGAGTGTGAAGATATCTTACGTGGTTTAATTCGCTGCGTTACTGATTGGCTTGTTCTCGCCCCGTTTTCGCCTTCAAAACCGACTACACTCATCATCGATGCATCTGACGTCGGAATCGGTGCTGTATTAGAACAAGAAGGTTGTCCAGTGATCTTCATTTCACATCTTCTTAATGCGGCAGAAAAGGGATACTCACAGACTCAAAAAGAAGCGTTGGCTGTATTTTGGGCTGTTTGACGATTGCACAAGTACCTTTCCGGATTACGGTTTACTATCATCATTGATCACCAAGCGCTACATTTCTTGTTCAACCTCAACAAATCCATCGCGAAGTCCACTGCTGCTATGCTACAGTGGTGGAGTATCGCTCTAGCCGCATATAACTATGACATCAAACATCGCAATAGCCAAGAACTGTGGGTCATGTTTAAATAAATTACGAACAAGACCGAGAAACTGAACACCATGGCCGGAAAGTTATGTACAATGACAATGGGTTCATTTGGATTTCTGTGGTCCATTTCTGAACCGGTATCACGCCCTTGTCCTGATCGATTCATACTCCAAATGGGCAGGGGTATTCTTTACGACTACGCCTACCACATCATTTGTGATACAAGTTCTCCGGAAATGTTTTAATCGCAAAGGGATTCCACAAGTGCTTGTGACGGACAATGGATCTCACTTCTGTGCGACCGAAATGAAGCTTTGGATAGACAGCATCGGTTTCTGACATCTTCGAACTGCGCCGCATCACCCCTGTTTGAACGGAGCGTCAGAGAATCCAGTCAAAACTGCCAAGAGTGCAATTGCGTCTGCCAATCCTAAAACGCTACATGAGTTGGAAACGTTGGTGGATAACTTTCTACTCCAATACCGAAACGCAACACATACAACCACGAAGGAGAGCCCGGCAATGCTTTTTAAATCCAGGCGCTTGCGATCCTCCTACAGTGCCTCGACTCCAGTGACGTCGTATACTTCAGTGGTAACGATTTGCAACCCGCATCTGGTATAGTCACACGACAACTGGGTCAAGCTATGGTGAAAATTACCGACTTGAATGATGCAACTGTAGACAAGCGACACGTGGACCAAATCCACTTCAGACCATTCACGGACCGGCGGCATTGAGACAAGCCAGGGTGACAATCATTTGCATATCCCATCAGCACAAACGACGGAGCCGCATGAGTCAGATGAACACAAACAACCAATCGAAACACAAGGACACCACCAGAAACAGGCGGAGCTAACGATTGCAGTCCGCAGGTCTAGCCGTAAGGCCAGCCAGATAGATGAGGCACTCTTGAGGGAAGAGAGTTGTAGTGATCCTGATTTCCGTGACCGCAATCCATGCACGACTAGGTACAGTTTCATGTCATCACCGTTCAGGAAGCTCGACCAATGGTACAATGGGCGAACGTGACATCCGAGTTAGTACAAATGATGCCTCCGCGCAAACGGTTACATAATTGAACGACGGCCCTTGAACCAATCATATGAGATATATCTTTCTATAAATTCCTTCTATAATTCTATCACTAAACATAAGCATTTGCTGCTACTAATTCCTTCTGTAATTCATTGGTGTCCGCAGTTTGGGTTGGAGCCAATTCAGTTCTGAGCAGTAGAGTACGGATTTTCGCATACCTAAATTCAATACTATTTTGATCACTACACGAACACAACCTACTTTGGTACATTCTTTTATAAGTATAGTGACCCATCTTTCATATCCTCATATTTATCTGATTGCATTTTTGTCCCAATGCATAAGCTCAACTCCGTGGCACATGCTCACCGGGTAGCAGTGTCCATTTTCTGAATTGAGCTCATATCAGTACACGATCCAGCTTCAAAGCTGACTCTGTGGAACACTACCCAGTTTGGTACGTACTTTTATAAGTATTATGACCCGTGTTCCCTTGCCTCTTATCCATGCGCTCCAACTTTTTTCTGACTTAATTTGTTCTTTGCCGTTGTACATGCTAATCAGGTAGCTGTGTCCACTTTTTCAACTGATGTTCTACCGTTAAGC